AAGGAAGGAAGGAAGGAAGGAAGGAAGGAAGGAAGGAAGGAAGGAAGGAAGGAAGGAAGGAAGGAGATAGATAGATGCATAATGAAAGCGCCAACACTGTAGCTTTTTATCTCAGTGCTGACTGGCCAAACCCAACTTTCTCTATATTTGTCTCTGAGTCTCACTTCACCCTGGCATGCAAACAGTCGGATGATTCCATTCTGCCGGACTGAGGCAGACTTGCAACCATACAGCAGATCGAACAGAGAATGGCTAGGAATCCAGTGTTGCCAAGCCGGGCTTCCTGGATCAGCACCCAATGCAAACATCTCCCTTCCACCCTGAAGCTTTGAGACAGAAGTTAAGTCGAGCCAAGAGGGAGAAGCCCCTCTTGTACCATTTATATGAGCCTCCACCCTCTGCCTTTCTGCTCACAGATGATGGCAGTGGTAGTGGTGGAGGTGGTGATGATTAGGAAGATGATTTAGTCCTATATAGGTACTTTAACTAGGTTAACCTTGGTAGCTTAATTTATCACGAAAAGACCACAAAGTCTGCCCACCCTCGTATCACTTAGCTGGAGAAAGACTTGACTAAGAAGGATCGCACCACCCAGATGTTATCAGGATTTACAAAGAAACCTTGAAGTTCATGCTGCGATGCCCCTTGGCACTGGATAGTTAAAGGACACCGCCGCGGAAGTGCCAGATTTTCTGAAGACCTTTTCTCTGTCGGAAGGTCTGGGGGAGCCTTTGACCCAGTGGGCTCAACCCGTCTGTATGGCACAGACCCCCATCTGAAGGATCTCGGGGCTGGATCACTGAGGACAAACCGGTTGGAAGTTTCAGCCTTAATCAACACCATCGCCACTCTCAGGATCACGTGAACAAATATGCTCGTATTTTAAGGCAGCGCCTGTATTTTTTATTATACGAGGCTTCCTCCAGTGATTGAATATATATTGAATATATATAGATATAGATATTCATTCATATTCGTATAATAAGCCTCATCGCTTATTATTTACAAACAAAAGAAAACCTTAAACTGGCATGGTTTTTAAATTTATTTTGTGGGCTTGTTCCTGAATGGTTTTTTGTTTAAAAAGTATATAATTGCTATTATGAAAGCCAGCAAAACCAGAGTCCATTCGCTCTCTTTTATTGGAGCTCCAACAGTGGTTTTTATTCTACCGGGAATACTGGTCTATGGAAATGCCTGGGCAAATCCGCAAGATCAGGTTTAGGAGCGTATTGTCTCCAGAACAAAGGAGGAAGGATATATTCTCAAAACGGCCAACCTCCAGATTTTGACCTAGGAAGAGACAGCTTTAGGATAAACAAGGTTCCAGGTAAGCAATTGCATTGCATGCGTTTTCATGGGGCATGAATTCGTTCTGCAAAGAACTGCAGAATGTCCCAACGTCTGTCGGGGCACCTCATTGAAGCTGGGACTGGAGCCTTTGTTGGACACTCAACGGTTTTCTAAATGACCATTTTCCTCCAAAATAACTTGGGGGTTGGGTAATTTTTTTTCGGGGTGGGGTAGGGCAACAGGATTTCTCTTAACCGAAAAAAGGGAAGAAGGAAAAAGACAGACCTCTTTTTGCTTCGGGATAGTGGGGTTCACAGGATCCCAAGATCAGGTTGCGCAGTTATATTTGAAAACCCCCGGGGTGAAAATGATGCCACTGCCTCTGGACTGACTCTTTCGAAAAAGCAGTGACTTTCCATTACTTTGCTTTGCCTTTTTGGTTTATTCTGTCCGGTTTCTTTCGTTTTCTCCCCCCCCCCCCNATAGAGGTTTTTCTTAATGTGTGGGTTTGCTTTTGTTTGTCTTTCGTGTCTGATTGTTTTTAGAAGAGAGGGAGAAATAGAAAGAAAGAAAGAGAAAGAAAGAAAGAAAGAATAAATGAATTAATGAATGAATGAATGAATGAATGAATGAATGAATTGAACTTACAAACTTTCCTAATAGTTTCCTGGGCTATCCAATTGGTGTTTTATTTTAACCCCAAATGCAAAATTTTGACCCGAGGAGGGATAAGGACTCCGAAACGAGTTACTCATTGCCTAATTGCACGCCGCCCCATCTATATACTAGGGTAACTTTGGATTGACCCCGACCACAAAGGCGAACCAGGTCCCTGGTAGGCGGGGTTGCTGGGGCGTTTGATGCTGGCTCCTGATTTTCCTGCCCTTTTCCTGAATATCCCGGGGCTGGGCTCGCCTAACTGCCTCGTTTCCATTTTCCTGCCCCCGCCTAAACGACGCGAGCCTCTCTGGCGGCGCCTTACCTTGTTCAATCAAAGGGCATCCCAAGGTTAGAAAAGGCAGGGGAGACAAAGGGCACCCTTCACCTGGGTGGGGAAGCCTGGCGGGCGGAGAGGGGAGAGAAAAGGGGGATCGGATGGAGGGGGCCACCCTGCCCTGGGAGGGGTGGGCTGGCCATCGATGGAGGAATCGGGGGTTTTAGGGGTTCGTAAACCCGCGCGGGGCGGGGGGGCGGGTAGCAACGCACAACACGCGGGTCCCCCTTGATTCCCGGTTCGATTATTGAGTGAAATTTGAGGAAATTGTGGTTGTACACAACAAATCCGGCGATAAAGCCCCGCAGCCTCCCGATTGGCTCAGCCAGTCACGTGGGCGCCCAACTTTATTCAGTTGACAGCAAGTAGGAGGGCCCTCTGGAAGGGGGGAGAAAAAAAAAGACAGCGCCAGAAAGGGGGAAAAAATTAGTATTTTCCATCTCCCGAAATTAATGGCCATGAGTTCGTATATGGTGAACTCGAAGTACGTGGACCCCAAATTCCCCCCTTGCGAGGAGTATTTGCAGAACAACTACCTGGCCGAGCAAGGCTCGGATTACTACGGCGCCTCGCCGGACCCGGATTTCCAGCACCAGGGACTCTACGCGCGGCCGAACTACAGCGGGCAGCAGCCCTACAGCTGCGGCAATGGCCAGGGTTCGGCGGTGCAAGCGCGGGGTCACGGGCAGGAGCAAGCCGGCCTGACGGGGCCTTTTCCCGGGCAAGGGGAGCACTGCCCCCCGGCCCCCGTGCCTGCCACCAGGACTTGCAGCCAGCACCCAAATCTCAAAAGCCCCAACGGGTCACCCGCAGCAGCAGCAGCCGCAGCAGCCAAGCAGCCAGCCGTGGTGTATCCCTGGATGAAGAAAGTCCATGTTAACTCTGGTAAGCCTCCCTTTCTTTTCTCCATCTCTCCTCCTCCACGTGTCTCTCTCTCCCTCTTTCTCTCTCTCTCTCTCTCTCTCTCCCTCCCTCCTCCAAAGGCCTTTCCAGGTTCCACCAGGAGAAAGTTAGGTGGGAATTCGAGGTTGCCCACTGCTCTTACCATAAATGCTTGGGGCTTGGGTGAAATAGGCCTCTTGGCCATGTGCCTAAGGCAGAAGGAGAGATTCTCTTTTCGTAAAGGGTGCTAGGATTTGTGAAGCCCACTCTTTGACTGAGAAAGGCAACCAATGAATGAATGAAAAGCCTATTTGCTAGTAATAGAGTTTGCAGTGGAGTTTATTTAGCCTTGGCAAGTCTAATGGGGGTGGGTGGGAATCATAAATTGACTTTACGAATATTATTTGGGGCAGGAAGGATGTTAACAGCTTCTTTGCTTTTTTTTCCTCCCTCCCTCCTCTCAGTAAACCCAAACTACACAGGAGGAGAACCAAAGCGCTCCCGCACAGCTTATACCAGACAGCAAGTCCTTGAACTGGAAAAGGAATTTCACTTTAACCGGTACTTGACCAGGCGCCGCCGAATTGAAATCGCCCATACGTTGTGTCTCTCCGAGCGGCAAATTAAGATCTGGTTTCAGAACCGAAGGATGAAGTGGAAAAAAGACCACAAACTCCCCAATACCAAAGGCCGCACATCCAGTTCGTCCTCCGCCTCCAGCCAACACTTACAAACTGTTTCCAAGGAACACCAAACGGATTTGACTACTTTATAGGAAACTTGGAAACAAGTCTGTTTTCTTTTTCCAGGGTTTTTTTTCCCCTTCGGAATTAGGCTGCCCAGAATGCAGGCAGTCAAAATACAAGCACATAGTGACACCGATACTCATCCTGCTGAAAGGGAAAGCAAGGTGTAACAGTTGACAACTTTCCAATGAGTCGCCTCCTGTTTTCTAAGACAGTGGAGAGCAATGTAACGGGGACCACAGGAGTGACGGAAGTCAACCTAAACATTCAAACAAACCAATTCTGCTTCCAGGTGGTGAGAAAGTGATATACTGTATATCTATCTGTCTATACATATATATATATATGGAAAACATAAATGAATCATAATTAATATTTTCAAATGAAATTCCCCTGGCAGCACACAGTCAGGCGCTATTGCAGACAACAACCCATTTGGGATTGCCCTTGTAATCTAATCGACCAGGAAGGGTTTGGGTGCTTTGAGATTAGCTGTTTTTGCTTGGTTTTCATCATTCCAGGTGTTGTAGAGCAGGGCAGATCCAAAACCGACCTTTGCCTTGAAAACAGGCAAAACATTCTCTTTCCATTTCTTAGAGTACTTTCAATAAACAACCTTAAATTAAAAGCTTACCCAATTCCTCCACCTTTTCAGGAAGATCTTTAAACAATGAAGTGAAAACGGGTTATTTTCATGTGTTGGTGATATTGTTATTAGCCTATGTATTTATTTGTTAGTTAGGAAAAGGAAAAAAAAAAGAATCAAACCAAAAATATCATCAGAGATTAAAAGCAAAACCTCCTGCCCGCTCCGCTGCTTGGATTTTGTTTTTGGAAAAACTTGATTTCCTTTGCTGCTTTTCTTTCAGGTGTTTCTGTACATAGGAAATCTTTTCCCAGTGGGGTTTTTTTTTCCAGATGAGATGAGAAAGAACTGGGATCTTTTAAAATTTTGAAATGGACCCTTTTGTTCATGGCTGGTACTTTAATCCAACAGAGGAGGAGGAGGAGGAGGAGGAGAGGAGAGGAGGAGGGAGAAAGTGGATTAAATCAACCACAAAAGCCAAGCCTCTCCCCCCACCAGTATAGTAAATATTCCACGTGATTCGTGACCCTCAAATTTATTTTATGTTCATCCTAGATTACTATTTTTTTATTAGCCTCTTTTGATTTAATTTATTGTGTTGGGATTAAAAAACAAAAGAACAAAACAGAGAAGGGGTAGATTCTGTGGTTTGGGTGGAAAGATCAGTGCTTTCTTTTGATTCAAATGTAAATACAAGAACTTGGATATATTTTAAACAGATTTTCAACATAAAGGCAGCTCTTATTGAGAGACGAACAAGTAATGATAAACTTTGGCAGAAATTTATGTCTTTTGCACAGATGAGTAAGATTTTTGTATTCTTTGCTTTTTTTCTTTTCTTCTTTGAAAAAAAATTAGGTTTGGCTAAAAGAATTTAAGCTCACACCATTCTGACATAAAGGAAGGTTCCCCCCCCCCCTCTTAAAATCATTTATTCTTTCCAATCTTATCTTGGGAAAGGAACAAAGCAAATGTGTCCCTTCTGCCCGTGTTCAGTTGGAAAAGCAGGGAGAAAGGTTCCGGGTTCAAGTATTAAACTCACAGTCCCTTTACATTTACAATTTGTGCTTAAGCATGTTTATTTCCAAGTAAATTCACTAGGTTTAATGGAATATACCATCTCAAATTCTATCCATGGAAAAGTTTTGAACTCGGGAACCTCACACTAACATACAGGCATCTCATTTCTTTCTTTCTTTTTTTCCCCAGGCAGATTTATTTCTAGGCATGTTCCTTGATTTAAAGGAAAACAATAAAAGAAATAATAAAGTAAGGGAAAGAAAAGGACAGTTCTCCCCCCCCCCCTAAATAGTGGACATCTCAGAGACTCACACTTAATGTTAGTGGATCTTAATAAACCTGGTAGTTA